CATGTTTACTCCAAGAAAAGTTGGCTCTCTTTCTGCCCTGAGCCAGGTGCCCTTATAGTCACTGCTGGAGATCAAATTCAGGTGAGTCTGCGTAAGAATGCGAATCTAAGTTTTACATTGACGTGACATGTATATAATCGCACTCTCAAAACAAAAACATCCTCTGTGTTATTCATTAGTTTTAGCTACAATGAAACATGACAATTCAGAGGATTAAGGAGGTTGATGTTGTTTGGTTACAGATATTGAGTGGTGGACTGTACAAAAGTGTGATTGGAAGACCGATATTTAAAGCAGAGGAAAAACAGAGCATTTCAATGGCTTTCCTCTGTTCTCATCAAAACAAGAAGAAGAATTTTGGAAGCCATGGGAGTAGAAGTGTTTCACTTTCCCAGCAAGCCATATTGGCTTTAATTCTACCCCTTGTGTACCATGTCATGATTTTTCTCTACAAAAAACTTCATTCATGAAAACCAAAATACAAATCTATATGCTACCGTTCCCTCCGTTCTCAGACACAGATAGTAATGGACCCGCCACCAATTTCAACCAACCACCTACGTCAGCTTCTCGATCGTTCTTTCAAGGCAGTCAAATTATATTTTAGTATTTATTTAAAATATAAACATGTAAAGATTAATTTTGGCTTCTTTTATGTCTCAGCTTATTAAATGCATTACCTTATTAAATGTATTGCATTGCACCGTTTACAACTTCTTTGTAAAACGTATAACTGTAAAAGATAGAGTTTTAATTCTCTCTCGGTTATAAATTCTATGCTACTTTCCCTCATTGTTTCACTTTGTAAAATGTATGCATTGCACCAATTACAACTAATTATATCAAACCATTTTCCAATTATATATATTATTTTCAAAAATAATTTATATAAAGAAAAATAATAATTTTAATGTTTGACATATATACTTATTCTAGTCAAATTTATATTGAATGATAAAAATTATCTAAATAATAATACAGTACGATATTATACATCATTTAATAGTATTTGGTATTAATAAGTATAACAACTTTATCTTTATTTATTCTAAATAATATATGTTATTTTTTTTATTACATAGGCTTTTATAACCAATTATTTATTTATCAAAACAACCATAAAATTCTGAGATTGTTTTTATTTTAATAAAAATAAAAGTAAGAAAATAGTAGAATTGATAAGTATTGTTAATATATTTATTTAGGGTTAAATATGTTTTTAGTCCCTAAACTATTGGCCGTTTCTGGTTTTCGTCCCTCTTTCAAAGTAAGGTACAATTTGGTCCTCATTCTTTTCGAAACGTTCGTTTTAGTCCTCCAAAACTAAACACTGTTTAAAAATTTGGTTCTCATTTAGCAACAAATGAGGACTAAAACCAAAATTCCGAGGACTAAAACGAACGTTTCGAAAAGAATGAGGACCAATTTGTACCTTACTTTGAAAGAGGGACGAAAACCAGAAACGACCAATAGTTTAGGGACTAAAAACATATTTAACCCTATTTATTTATCTCTTTATATATATTACAGTTAACTAATAATATTATTAATCATAAATATAATTTCAAGAATTAAGAAAATAGAGTAATAGATTATATATATATTTTTAAATAATGAGATTAATTATTTTAATGTTAAAAATTTGATAATATAAATAGAATTTCATAACATGTTTTATTATCTAACACACTAACTATTTCTCTAAAATTCAATTATCTAAGTTCTCTCTTCTTTAATTCTAAGAGTTCTAATTTCTAAGACATTTAAGATTTGTAACTGATTGGTTTTCTCTATAAAGTAAATTAGTTTCTACCTCTCTTCTTTGTTTCGCTGTTTTAAGAGACATGCGAGTTTAGTGTCATCGAAGGTAGTATTCATCTTTTCTTGTTAGTTTGATTTTATGGTCTATAGGTACATATAGAGTTAAAGACAATGGTAGTTTGTTTTATAGAGCTATTTGAACTTTCCAACCAGGTAAGAGAAACTAATATTGTCCTTAATTTCATGTTAAAATGCATGTTTGATATGTTGTGAGAAATTATGTTTGGTTGAATATGTTATAATTGAGTGCAATGTTGAGTGATGCTTATCTTGATGAATATTGTTGGGTATTCTTGATAATTTGTACTCGTTTGAACATTTGATATGTTGTGTTGGAGTTTAATTAGGTACAAAATTAATGTAGGATTACAAGTGTCGCAGCGGGACCGTGAACTGAAAACAAACAGGTTTAAGAAAAAGATTTTGGGAGTCGTCACCATAATTTATTATGGAAAAACTATTGAAAATCGTAAAATAAAAGCGTGGTCTACGTAAACTAGATTTTACTAGATTTTTTAGGTTCGATAATCGGTTACGCGTAAGAAAGGTATTAGCACCCTAGCGTGCTTGTCCAAAAGCATTACCTTTAATTAAATCTATAAAGTTGACGTGATTTTCCAAAATGTTTAATTTTTCCTAAAGTTAATTTTACAGAGAAACTATTAAGAAACAAAAGAAAAATTGTTTTATGAACCCGACAATGATTGATCTTGTTCCTAGGTATATCCATTTAAAATGGAAAATCAGGGATTACGTAGTTTTTTATCTAGAAAAAGTTTTGTAAATTTGTTTGAAAATTATTATGGATTATTTTAGATTTTTGAAAAGTGAACCCGACAAGGATTGCTCTTGCGTATCTCCATTCATGATGGAAAATCAGGGATAACGTAGTTCTAGTAAAAAAAGATTTGTTTAACATTGTTGTTATTTTTTTATGTTAAAGATCTTGTATTTTTTTTATTTTAAGACTGATTGGAAAAAGGAAAGAAACCCGCTATAAGCCGGTGCAATATTTTTAACCTTTATTTTTTTAAAAGAAAATATGTGATTGGAGGGACGTAACCAATACTAAAAGAGACAGAGAGAATATATTATACAAGAGACCTAACCAATACTAAAAGAGACAAGAGAAGATATTATTCGTATGATTTTTAAAAACGTTCTTTATGTGTAGTAAAAAGGTAATACCTTTAGAATAAAAGCGTTATTCATTACTTGGAATATTGAATGATCTTTTTAATAATCTCTCTAATTATTCATTACGTTGAATTACCCTTTACCTTAATCAGAGTTTTAGAAACTCTTGGCTTCCATGTTGGGTGCTTTCTTTTTCTCGAACAAATCCAACAGCGTGGGTTCTTAGTGGCGCAAGGAGACTTCCTCCTCCTTCCTCTCCTCTATTTCTGGGTTGGCATTGTAGGGAACATTTCTTCTTTCCTTCTTCTTGTTATGGTTCTGTTTGTATTAAGGCTCCGAATTTGAGTTCTATTTTTGGAATTCTGATCTCACGACATTGAGTTTCCTTCTTTGGACTGAGTTTTTGTTTTGTCTTCTCTGCAAGTTGGTGGCGCAATGATTGAGGTTCTTCGCGATCTTGTGATTTGGGGATTTTAGGGTTTTTGTTTGGGATTGAGGGTTCTAATTTGAGAATTTCTTGTGTCTTATTTCTCCTCTGCAGATTGTTAATGCGGTTTGGGGTTAAGGTTTTCGAATTGGGTTTTTGTTTCTAATTTCACGTTTCTGGGATTATTTACAATTGTATTTTGCTCTTACACTTTTGAAGTTTTGGAAATCTATGAAATTGCATTTGGGGTTCTGTTTCTGAAATAAAGTTTTAATGGTGGATTGCTTCTAACCTAATTGTAATTTCTTTTAACTTTAACTTTTCCACATCAATAACTTCAACTTTTAATATTTACATGTCAATTGACAAAAGGTTGCCACGAAATAAATAACTGGACCGATCATTCATTATTGGATAAGGTAGACATTATAAGACCGTAAAAATGATCAACTTGAACAATTTTTACAAGAATATAAGATCACTTTAAACAACTTAAAATTACTTTAATCACAATTAACAAAACTAAAAACCAAAATTAGTATTAAACCTTGATTTTCTTTTCTTTTCTTTTTTTCTATTACTTATAAATGAAAATGTTTTGATGTTTTGCGGACGACCTAGTGGTAAGTGGCAACGTTACCTAGGTGTAGAAGAGGGTGTCCAGGCGGAAGAAGATAAGAGTTGGAATTTTTAGGTATTTTTGAGGAAAAAAGATGGGCTGGGTCCAGCAGGTACTCCTACACCCTAATATAGCTTCTCATACCTTCATTCTGCATAACTCTGGCATTTCCTGTTTTCATTTATGCACAGTTGATGTTTATTTTACTGTTTCAATTACATCCTGCACTCTCCAATAGTACCAATCCATAATCTCTTAACAGTGCAATAAGTTGAATATTTAACTTTGAAATTTTAATAAGTAATTCTGTGCAAATAGTGTACATTCTAAGAACAATAATTGTATAAATATATCTTTGAAATTAATTACAAAACTACCATATAATATTTCCAGTGCATATTCAAATATTACTTACTCACTTATTTTTAATCAATATTTTATATATTATTACATTTAAGTCTTTCAATATAAATAGTTCTAAAATCTACCTACTTTTACTTCTTCCTTTACTCCATTATTCTCATTTACATATTAATTATAAAATTCTAAATACATTATACAGTTTGATATTTTTTAAATTATTAAATTAAAACTATTGTATGAAAAAATTAACTATTTTTCTAACCTAAAATTATCATGAGCCAGTAATTATAAATTTTATGACATAATAATGATATTTTGTATTGTATATGGGGAAAATGATGATTATCAAAATGACAAAAGTATGTTCTTTTAAAATAATAAGTAAGTCTACAAATTATTTTAAAATTTAAAAATAAACATAAAAGTATTTTAAAATTCAAGAAAACACTATTTTAGCTATAGTTTTCTTTACTGTGTCTCTTTCATTTAGCTCTGCTTATATTATATAAAGGTGCTTCTTCCCTTGATTTATTTTTTTATCTTTGTATCCACAATTTCATTCAGTTCATGTTCAACGTGCTAATTTTTTTTTAATTTGTTAATACCATCTTAGAAACAGGACTAATGATAATTTTGATTGGTTACCAAATATTGAGAGAAATTCAATTTTTATAACTTCTTTTTCTTCAAGATAATCATGCAGACATCAAAATACTCGGCCATCCATTGAAACAGGGAAATTGTGTTCTGCATTTTACTTCCATCTTTCACTGTTAGATACAAAAACTTGTGCACTCAGCCGAAAAGGTTAGGAATCCCTTTGCTTCCAACACTCTCGTCTGATATTGCTGCTGAGTATGATTACATAAATTAATCAGTTCAATGTTTTAGGGTTTAGTAAAATATTGTCTTTGATTGGGGTTTAGCCTTGTACGATGATATTAGGTTGTAAATTTTGAATGTAGGACTATTGTTATCTGCCTGTTTGTCTTATCATGATTTGCTTGTTTGTTTTGCTGTCTGCATTTGAATGGACTCAATCTATTTTTACACGCTAGTGTTTTACTTCTTAAATGTGTAATATATATGACAGGGATTTCAAACAAAAGGTGTGTTGAGACTTTAGGGCAAGCCAAAGAGAAAGGAGAATTTGTTCTTAGTTTGGCTATTCACCTTTCTCTGGGCAAATTTTTGTTTTCTCTGCAAAGATGGATACTTCAACATTAACTGAACAACCATTTCTGAAGCTCTCTTCAGATGAGGTAATGACAATATATATCACTAAAATGTTCTGTGCTCTTTATTTGTGGGACACATTTGTTGGCTAATCCTTGCACTCTTTATGCTCTTCCTCCACTCCTAGATGTTGGAATTGGAAAGAATATACAAAGATATGGGAGAAAAACCAATTGATTGGAAGTTGTGTCAGGAGATTGCTAGACGATTTGGGTGAATTTTGTCATATCTTTAACATAATTAGGATTTTTTGTTTTGTTTGTAAATGATATTCCATAATTTGACTTCTTAATTTTGTAGTTCCTTGTCAAATGCTGCCGGTAAAACTTCCTTATCATGGCAACAGGTTGTCAAATAAATTTCTCCATCCTTTAGGCATATTTGTCAGTTATGCCAGAGTGTTATAATGCTGTGTTGGTTTTATTGGATTTTAGGTGGAGCAGTGGTTCAAAAATAGGCAGAGAGTATCACAGAATAAAGATAGTTCATCACCCAACCTGGTGCCACTTTCTGCAGGTCTTTCAAGTTCAAAAGGTTATTCATCTTTTCCTTAGACTTTATCATGACTATAAATTTGTAAAAGGAAGAAAAAAATTCTCATAGATGGAATTAGGCAGTTTGTCCTCTGATTTTGAAATTTTGGTTCTCTATGGAAACCATTGGATGCACAGAGTTTGCCTGTCATTCACTCATTCAATGCATGTATTCTATATAGCTATATAATTGTTTTGTTTCCATTCTTCTCAAATAAAGACTTCAAAAATTCAGATATAGTTAATAATTTTGTTTTGTACGACTTTTACATTGGTTGTTTTGTCTATTTCTAGTTTAAATTCCTTGTATTATATGATATATGTGAAGTAATTTTTTATTGTACAATCTTGTGATTCACTATTTGAGTCCACGTTTGATAACCTTTGATAATTTGTGTTCTTAATCTTTGGCATACAAGCTACAGATATATCGGACTTGGCATTTGAAGCAAGATCTACAAAAGATGTTGCATGGTGAGGAATAATTAATTGATATAAGCTCTGTTTTCTGAGTTTAGCCATGAAATGGATTATATGAGAAGTATGAGGTGTGGTCTGATTTTATTTTATTTGTTTCTTTCCAATACGAAAAAGACTATCCCTAGATGCCATGTATACTCTGTAAAAGGGAAAGCCTTTATGATAGATATCCATTGGTAGTTAGTTAGTTAGGAGTCTGTTAGTGTCTTAGTGAGGAGTTAGTTACTTATATTAGCTGGGAAGGTTGAGATACTAGAACATATCCTTTTCTATATCCTTTTTTTTTTCTTAGTTTCTTACATACTTTCTGTCCAGCATCTTATTTTTTTTTTTTCAATTATAGGCATGATGTTGCACTGTTCCTTAACTACAGAGTTATGTGCTCAGGCGAACTTGTAAGATTCTGCTTTATTCTAATTTATGTGTTTTTGGTTGTGAAGAAACTGAGACATTATCTACAGAGTTTGTAATAAGAGAGGAATGACCGTTTCTTTCATGCCTGCCTCATTTTACTTAAAATAGTTATTTACATTTTCCTGCTTTATAATTATTTATAGACATATTCACGTATATGGAGAGTTGATGTCATGATACTTTTCTAGGTTTGTATATGCAACACAATGGTTGTATATGAAGTTTTTCTTCCCTTGCATCTTAAATTGTATGTTATTGTACAATATTGCAAGAAAATGAGTATAACTGCCATAAGTATAGTTAAGAAAAGTTCAAATCCCCATTCACATTGATTTAGTTCCTCTCAACTTTTGGGGTTTTATCAGGAAGTGATTTAGAAGATTATTTCAATTAAAGTAAAATGCTTCTTGAAAGTTAAAGTTTACTCTGTGCTTTTAATGAATACATAATGTAATCTATAGAACTATATATTAATAGGGATAGTTTCTTTTTCTTCATTAGGAAAGACCGAAAAAGTCAGAAAACTGTCTTGTGTATGTTGATAGTTTTATATACCTATGAACACTGTAAAATAACTTTACTTGCTTAGTGGATGCATATTTTTGATATTATGGAGAACCAAATAACGGATCTTGTCACGTACAATTTAGGAAGTCCGTGTCCGATATGCTGGATTTAGTAAAGAGCAGGATGAGTGGGTGAATGTGAAACAGGGGGTGCGTGAGAGATCTATACCATTAGCTCCTTCAGAATGTCAAAAGCTTCAGGATGGAAATCTTATACTATGTTTCTTGGTAAGGGAACACTGCATTCTTTTATTGTGTTTCAATTTATCTTTCCAATCACATGGTTAAATTTAGCACAAGACATTTTCAGGGTTCATTGATATGTATATATGTCTGTCTGTATCCATGTATAATGTATATATACATTATATAATATCACCAATTCAATCATTAACAAGAGTAAAACCATGAGAACTTATTAGATAAAAAATCAATAATAAAGAATCTTGTTTAAATTTGTAACTTTCTGTTTGAACTAGAGTAGGTTTTTGATCTGTTCTCCATTGATTATGAGATCAACCGGCACCAGTTTTATGCTTGAAGTCCAGTCTGCAAGTTCTTAATCTATGCATTTGACCCAAATAGAGCATTTATTTATTTAGCTTTTACTTTTTGTTGAAAGTTCCAGATCAACCAGAGATATAACCAATTTAGAATATATAGATAGATACAAACCTCATCTTATAAATTGATTTCGTGAAATTAAATTAGGCTTAAAGTTCACTTGTTAACACTCTTATTAGCCTTTTCTGTTTTTTCACAGGAAAGAGACGATTATGCTCTCTATTGTGATGCTCGAATTGTGAAAATCCAGAGGAGGGTGCATGATCCAACAGAGTGTACATGCACCTTCATTATTCGATATCTCCATGACCAGACTGAGGTGATCTTTGATTTCTTTTCTTCCCGTTCACTCCCTTTTGTGGATATTAACACTAACTAATGTGGTTTCATATGTCTTTGTCAGGAAGAAGTTTCTTGGAACAGGTTATGCTGTAGGCCTACAGAAGAAGAATCTGCTGTCTACCCAATTCTTGCCATTGATCCCACCCAAAGTCCTTCTCCTAGTTTCTCCCTAAATCCCATAGAGTCCTTGTGGGGATAAAAAGAGCCAGCTTTTTTCCGAATTCCCCAATTTACTTTTGGCTAATGTTTATTGTTTATTGACAACTTAAGATGGTTAGACTTTTGTCTATTTTATTTTTAATGTTATAAACATTGATTAAAATACCAAAAACAGAGATAAAATATGAGTATATTGGTCGAGATTTGTTTAGAAATTATTTTGATACAAGTAAATATTTTAAAAATTTCTTCAAACTCTAAAACATGCAGAAACTTTCATGTAGATACAGTTACAAAATAAGATAAAGAACTTAACTATTAAAACATATAATCATAATTAATATGAATAATTTATTATTATACTATACGATATATAAATATTAAATGCTATATTTGGAACGTTAGCATTTAATATTAGTATTAAATGCTTTATTAATAATAATTATGAACCATTACTTTCTTGATATATATCAAATATAATAATATTTGTAGGATTGCATTTTATAAACCAGAAACTATACATTCGCATGCCCTTACTGCTCCTAGCTTTCTTACTATATCTATTAGACAACCAGAACTGATTTTGTATTTTATTATTATCTCAAAAACCCTTTGATAGGAAAATTAATGAAAATCAGTTTTAGAAAGTTAGAAACAAATAAAAGAGAATTAAAAAGAGGTAAAAAAAATAGTAAGATATAAAAAAATAACAAAACTAGTTATTGTTCTAATTTATGTATTCATTATAATTTGTTACTTTTTAGAATCAACACAGCTAAACAAATATTCATCCTCATAACAGCGACTAAAACCAATTAATTATTTTAAATTTTATACAAATGAAATACGAAGAAAAGACCAAAATGAGAATTCCTGAATTATATATAACCAAAAGTATATTTAAGCCAATATATTTTTTTTATCTTTAATATCATTTACAGCAATATAAAACTTCCAGAAATTAACCAATTGGATAATGTAATTCATGCTATAAAAACTCATAAGTCGTAATGTCAAAACTAGCATCGAGTTATTAATTTGTTTAATAAGTATAACTATAAGAAACGATTTAAATTTTTTTATCAAATACAGCTAAATCCATAAGTATTGTAAATTTGAATTTAAACTGAAAGAAAAAATAAAAAACACTTTTATAAGATTATAGAAGTTGTAAATTCATGTATTGAATTATGTAATATAAACGTTTAAAAAGTACCAAAATTAATATTATAATATTCATAAACTATAATTAATTTTTACTTATATTTAAAAAGTTAAACGGTAAAATAAAGATGATTGAAGAAATATCATAATAACTTAAACTAATCATTGACATGGAAACAATTTTCACACGAATGGCAACCAGGGGTATTCCAGTTTAGTTTCACTGAATGCGTTCATTCTGCTACATACAAATAATTAAAACTTTAGTCATCAAAATTTCTTGGGGCAAGGGCCACTTGAAATAATCATCGGATTATTGCTTCTCAGCTGCAGCCACGTTTGCAGGGCTCAAGAAACTGTACGTCCGTAGCATATAGAAGCAATGTAGAGGTTCTTAGCCCACTTTTCCTGTAAAACCAAACATGTATATAATGATGAGACCGAGACCTTAATTAACTGGAAAAACTAAAAGCATAAACAACAAGTGCATTATTTCAGACCTTAACATGTGTACTAGGAAAAGCAGAAGTCCTAAGTGTTTCCTGAGTTTCATCTAAAGGTTTCCTCCTTGGCACACTAAGGACAAAAGCAGCTTGGTCCCAAGTTGCAGCAGTAGATGTGATTCTGTAACCGCTGTCCCACCGCTTGTGAATTCCCTCACTAGGATACAGAAAGTCTAGTTCAATCACCTGAAATTCGAATAAACAACAATGGAAACAACTGTTATTTATGCTTACGAAGTTGCATTATGAACTACATTACTGATAGATGAATGACCTGGTCTGAATATCCTGCACCACGAGACATGACGACTCCCCATCTCGGCCCTGAGGTGGCCATTGAAGTCACGTAAAATCCCTCCCTCCACTTTTTGTTAATCCACTTAAAAGGAAATGAATCACTGACTTTGTATGATTGCTGCACAAACTGTGTACCTGGAATCCAAGATCGTATAGTCAGCAGAAAAATAAAATTGAAAATTGCCAATCGACATAGCCGATATATACACACACACACACACACTCTTTGGAGGAACCAACCCTTGGACATTACTACTAGCGAGCTCCCATTTGCAGCTCCAGCAATTGCGCTGATGTAGTAACCTAGTTCCCATTGCTCCACGATCCATTCCTTCAGGTAAACCAAAACCGAGTATCCGCAGTTAATAAGCATGCCTTGATATTATATAGGGTTAATTATTTTTTAAGGTGATTTTTGAATTTGTCCTGAAACTGTGATCTTGGTCTCTATAATTTAAAAATAAATGGATGTTGTCCTTATCACCTAACGGCGTAAATTTTTGTTATGTGACAACCAACATTGTCACATGTATGCCACCTTTTGTGTCCACGTGTGTTCTTCTTTCCCTCCCCCATTCTCCTCTCCACTCCTCCCCTCTACCCACCCTTCTTGCCCCCTCCCCTCCCCCACCCCACCCCTGCAGTTCCCAATATGGTAGAATTCTGAAGAGACTTCATTAGTGGGTGAAGAGAGAAGGCGAAGAGAAAAAAAGCAATTACCCCCATTCTTCATAAACCCTAGACAATTAACCCACAACTTCTCTTTCCTCTATGCTGGAAAGTAATCCCAACCTTTCCCTTTCTTTGTGCTTTAGTAACCCTAACCTAGGGTTCCAATGGGGGAAAGAAGAGGAAGAACGATGACTCGGATGTGGAAGAATCAGAAACAGTGAAGATTGATTAAAAATGATTGATTAATTAATTAATTAATAAAGTGGATCCCTTTTTAAACCATTCTCTTGGACACTGTTTTGGTCTTTGTCTGGAAATGCTTTTACGTCCTCCATGCGTTTTCACATGCTTGGATTTTGTTTTAAATAACTTATTTTTGTGGTTGTGGATGTCGTTCTTCAATCTGCTTCGTAACTGGACAAAAGTATTGGACCAAAACCCCGTCTACGGTAAATTAGTGCGGATGGGTTTGTGAGAATGAACGTGGGGCAATGGCAACTGCAGTGAGGGTGGGGAGTGGAGGAGTGGCAAGGAGGAGGGGGGGAGGGAAGGAGCGGCAAGGGAGGGCGGAAGAGGGAAGGAGCGGCCAGGATGGTGGAGGGAGGGGAAGAGTGGCAAGGAGGATGGAGGAGGGGAGAGAAGGACACACGTGGCATACACGTGGATACAATGTCAAAATGTGGCTACGCCGTTTCCAACATAAAAAAAATTAACACCCTTAGGTGATGAGAATTTCATCTATTCGTTTCTAAAGTATAGGGCCCAATGAGGATCAAAGATTTAAATAGGGAATAATTCCAAAATCACTTTATATTTTAAAGATTAAAAACATAATTAATCCTATTATATATTAACAAATCTACAGGCTACGATCATCCAAGAAAAAGACATGAGCAATAATTTCAGACAAAATTAATCATTATTGAGTAAGTTGTATGTTTGTTGAAAATCTAATCTGTAAACAATCCATAAACAAAAATATAAAAGCAATGGATTGAGATTTACCTTATGGAGGAAGAAGGGTGACAGTTCGTAAACTTGGCCAGCGAAACCTGTCCCCGCATCCATGATTAATGCCCATACGCTCTGACATGAAGCAACACTGCTAATATATAAGCCATCCTCATTTCCTTTCTCAATGTGCTGGGATAACCTTGCATCTGATACATTATAGTGATATCTGCAACACACAACACAATCGTTACTAAAGTACAACTCCCTTACATTAATTTCAAACGGTAGATAACTCTTAGCATATTACTCCTGTGACTAAAATATGAAATCCGGAGCAAGTCAAACATAGAACACAAGCAAATATACACAAAAAGTTGTACAAACAGATTTCATAAGATGCTAAGGAAGGGGAAATGTGCAATTAACATCTCTATGCATCAGTTTAAAATGCCAGAAATAGAACATAGAAATGACAAAACAAACTTCATGACATGCTAATTTGTACCTTTGTTTCATTGGTCTACGAGCATTGTAAACACTTATCCACTGTGATGCTGGCAAACCAATACGAGTCTTCTTTTTTGGCTGGTCATCGTCCTCTTCTTCCATCGCTAACCGGCCTCTCTTATGGCCAATGAGCTTCAGACAAAAACATTAGCAATATCACCCATCTTACACACGATCAATGAATGCATAAAGTAGTAACGATTATATTTACTAAAATCTTGGAATGCATATAAAACAACACAAATGTAAAGGGATAGCAAAATTGATACCTTTTGTGCACCTTCTGTATTAATTGGTCTAATATCTGGGTTAGGACCAACAATTCCATCAAATAGAGAAATATATTTTGCATAATTGGGTTCTTCGTCAAACTTTAAGTTCACAACATGTTCAACAAACTGCTTAAAAGGTTGGGGACAAAAGCAGCAAATAATCTCTGGAGATGTTCCCATCTTCTTCTTGCAAACCAGAAAACCTTTGTTTTCTCCCTGAGAAAATAATGTTAGAGACCAAACTTCTGAACATAAGAATAACACTAAGTTGTTTTAATATGACCAACCTGGAATCCCTGCCAAGGAAGGCGACCTCGGAGGAGAAAAATCAATGTATATGCAAGAGATTCCAAGTCATCCCTCCTGCTTGCAGTTCGCCCTAAATGTGCATGAACACTAGCATAACGGACTGTGCCTCTGCAAATATATCCCACATAAGTTATTAATACCAATACAGAAAACTGTATAATAGATGTATAAAACTTTCTACATGGTCCAAATTCAATTACAAATACCTAAACACATCTGGTCTTTGATCATATTCCACATGTGAGCCTGTTGCACTATCCCTCCACTTAGTAGCTGTACGCCCAAAACATCAAAGGAAGTGTGTAATTAAGCACTGGTAAAATATGTAAATATAATAAAAAAAATTAAGTTGACAACTGTATCATACCTAATCCAAGATCTACAAGGAACAATTTTTTCTCATCAGACGTCCCAGGAGGACCAAGCAGAAAATTTTCAGGCTTCACATCCCCGTGCACATATCTGCCATATAATGTA